CCCGGGGCCTTCGCCTGCTTCCCCGCGCTGCGTCTGCTCAACCTCTCCTTCACCGCGCTGGGCAGCGGCGCCCTGGGGGCCATCGCCGACGCCGCCTTCGCGCCCCTGGCCGCCCTGGAAGTCCTGGACCTCAGTGGCACGCTCCTCGATCAGGGTGAGTCCTGGGTGCCGAGGGTTTTCAGAGGCGGGCTGGGCATGTGCTCCTGGGCTCGGCTTCTTCGACGGGTGGTGGCCCAGGTGCCTCGCTCACAGTGCCGCTGAAAAGTAACCCCGCCTAGATTTCCTGAGCCACGCCATACGGGGGTGGTTAATGCCTTGAGCCCCGAGGGGAAGGAACTATTATCTCGGTTTTGCCTATGAGGAAACCAAAGCCCAGAGAGGAGCGTGCCTGGCCCGAGGTCCACAGCGCATTAAGTGGTGCCTCCAACTCCAAACCCAAGCGTTCTGGGTCCAGAGCCCAGGCCTCTCGCCAGCTGCTCGCCTGCCACCCAGCAGCGCTGGGGAGTGCCGGCAGAGGGGCACGTGGATGCCTTGCTTTGAGGCTGATTAAAGCCAAACAGGCCCTTCACTGAAGCTCTGAGGATGAATTCGGGGGCTTTTCTACTTGGTTGGCTAAAATTGTGTCTGCAAATGTTGACTCCTTCCAACAAGACACAGGAGGAGCTGAGAATACCGGCTCTCCTGTTTCTGGTGTGTTCTGACTCTGGTTCACAAGGTTGGTTTTATTATTTTTTAAAAAAAACACTTCATGTGTGTATAATCGCCTGTTCCAGCATCAACAAAGAAAGAAAAGAGCGAGAACTGGAAACGGGAAGGGACCCACAATTAGGCCTCTGGGCCTCCTCCCGCCTTGCCCTTCTCTCCCCTTTCCTTGCCTTCCTCAAATATTTCCCCACTCCTGGCAGCCATCAGAGTGAAGTTTGGGGTATTTCTGTGTGGAGTTTAACAAGAGGGTAAGGCAGCAGGGGAGCTGGAGACAGTGTCCTGGGTTCAAGTCCTGGCCCTGTCCTTTCCCGGCTGTGTGGCCTTGGGCCTTGGGCCGGTCATCCTCTCTGGCCTCAGCAGCCTCAGGCTGGAAGGAAGGAAGGGCTGGCTCTCAGCTGAAATGTGCCATGCTTCTGAGATTCCTAAAGCTGCCAGCGCACCCATGCTCAGCAATGACCTTCAGGACTCACCTTGTCTCGTGGTGTTCCTGTAATGCCCTGCCAGCCTCCTAGGCTGGGGTCTCCCTGGGTAGTGGGCAATTTCCCCTCTGTTTCAGTTCGGTCAGGGTGGATCAGACACCTGCCCAAGCTCACCTCCCTCTACCTGAGGAAGATGCCCAGGCTGAGGAGCCTGGAGGGGGACATTTTCAGGATGACCCCTGAACTGCAACAGCTGGATTGTCAAGATTCCCCGGCACTTACCTCGGTCCAGACGCACATCTTCCAGGACACCCCTCGCCTACAGCTCCTTCTGCTCCAGAAGTAAGTCCTTCTGAGTCACACAGCTGAATCTGCCCGTTACACTAGGCCGAACAGGTGTGACTATTTTATGGAGCATACCAGACCTTAATTTTCCTCCCATGGCTCCTTCAAGTCCTCCCTGAGGTTTTGTTCCCCCTCATCCTTTGGGTGGTGTCTTGGGCAGGTCCCAGATAGACCATCCAGCCTGGAAACCATGCAGCCCAATCCTGTCCAGAGTGACACTGAAACTCCAAACTCCCATGCATGTGAGGTTCCCTTTAAGCCCAGGACGAGACACCTGCAGTGGGAAGAGGGGATGAGGCCACCACGTGCTCTATTCCGCCACCCACCTGACTTCCACGGGGGAAGCCAGCCCTCCCAGGGGTCGGTGGAGGAAAGGCGAGAGGGTAGGAAGGCCCTACTTGCCGCCAGGACCCAGGGCTGGTGCCTTCTGGCCTGTTGACGTCCCAAGTGTCACTATATCCAGACTCTTTCCTGACTCCTAACAGGAAGGGCAGCCAGCACCGCTTTGAAGGTGATCCCAGGCCACCTCCTTTCCTGGGAGCCCATAGCGGGCCCTGGGGAGCAGGCACCTTTCACCCATCATCACCCTCAGTGTAGCCGCTTCTCTCTTTTCTCTGCTAGCTCCAGACCCCACCAGAGTACTTCACTTTGGGGTTGTCATAAGGGAAAGGAGACAGGATATGCAGAGCACTTAGCTCAGTGCCGGGCACAGGGTGTGTGCTCTGCAACAGTGTAGATGGTGGCTGTGATGATGATGGTGATGGTGGTGATGGTGACCGTGATGGTGTTGGTAATGTGGTGCACTGGTGACGGTGATGACAACGATGGTCATGGTGGTATGTTGGTGAGAGTGATACCTCTGGCTCAGACTCCTCTTTTGAGCTTTAGACTGATGCAACATTGTAAGACATCAGCTGTGGAGCCAAACTGCCTGGGCTCAAATCCTGACTCCACCACTTACTAGCTGTGTGAGTTGGGGCAAGTTACTTAACATCTCTATAGCTCAGTTTCCTCATCTGCGAAATGATGACAAAAAGGAAGTCCAAGGTCATTAAGATTTTTACCCAAAGTAAGACCATTTAACCCCTACCAGAATGGCTTTCCCACACAGCATCATGACTCTCTGGGGATGGTTTTGACCTGATTGTAAAAGCCTTACTTAATTGATTTTCTGTGTATTTCAGCTGCAACTTGAGTTCCTTCCCTCCTTGGACCCTTAATTCCTCCCAGGTCCTGTCCATCAACCTCTTTGGCAACCCCCTCACTTGTAGCTGTGAGTTGTCCTGGCTCCTCATGGATGCAAAGAGGACTGTCCTAAGCAGGTAACACATTTACAAAGGGGGTGACTGAGGGGTGAGGGTCATCCTCCCTGAGCTGAAGTCTTGCTCACATAAGTAGGCTGGGCAAGTTGGCATTGTAGGGCAGGGTGGCCATCCCCCATGTAGTCACATTCAGGGACCCAGAGGCACAGAGAGCATGGAGGAACAGACATGGGGGTTTTAATGGGCCAGACCAGGAGGTAGGGTGCATCACTCCCACTCATACCCACGCTTAACTGCAAGGGAGGCTGGGAAATGTAATCTAGCTGTATGCCCAGTAGGAGAAAGAAATGGGCTGAGTCAACAGTTAGCTTGTCTCTGCCAAAACAGGGTTATCACTGTCCCATTTTACAGATGAGCAGATTGGGGCCCAAGGAAGGGAGAGACTTGCTTAGATTCAGGCAGCTCCCTGGTGGAGGAGGCAGAATCTATCTTCCTCCAAAACTGTGCTCTTAACCACTGGGCTCCCTGAGCCCCCTAAATGGAGCCTGGCCTCGTCTATCATTCAGTCCAAGGCCGGTGGGCTTACAGAGCACTTGTGGGACAAAGTCCCACGAAGAGGTCTCATTGGCTCTTGGCTGAGAGAACTACTTTTGCAGTGGGGAGCCATGCCCAGGTTAGCCACCAGAATAGGGTGGGGGCTGGGAACACCTCTGGTCTTGAGCACCCTCAAACCAGCTCCACCAGCTCCCTTTGGGAGACATGCCCCCATCCTGTGGGGGTTCTCTTCTCACCTCCCACCCAAGCCTGGAGACAAGTGGCGCTCAGTCTGTCTCCTTCCCCTCATGTTAATTCCACAGACAAGCACCCAGGCCCTTTGCAGTGAAGGGTCTCACTTCATATTAATGACGGGATTGAGAGTGCAGGCTCCTCACACCACTGACTACTGTTCATTCTGGCTGCATTCCTTAGCCCGTCTGGGCCTCTACCTCCTCATCTGTAAAATGGGGATAACAGTGCCTACCTCATAAGGCGGTGCAGATTAAATTCATCGATACAGTCCAGAGCTAACAGTAGTCCCTAGCACGGGGCAAGCACTCAGAAAATGTTAGCCGGTATGAGTACTGTGACTAGTACTGGTGGCCAGGAAGCAGACAGGCGAGAACACTCAGAGAACACTTCAGGCTCCGCCGTTTGCTGGCCAGCTGTCTTGGGCAGGTGGTCCCTCTTTCTGAGCTTCCATTTCCTCCCGGGCCCCATGGGAGCGTCCTCCACAGGTGGCCCCGAAGGGCCGTGAGGCGATGCTGGCTAGTGTGTACCCCGGGGTGCCTGGCAGACGTGCTGACAAGGCTTAGCCGGAGGGATTGTCTGCGCCGGGTACTCAAAGCCTGGGCAGAATCGGTCTTGATGCCAATTAACTTCTACCTGGTTGACCTCCCCTCTAGGGCAGCAGACACTGTGTGCGCACCAGCTGCAGGATCCCCCGGGGCCTTCTCAGCCCCTCTAGTGCTGTCCCAGCTGCCCAGTGTGTGCCACTGGGCCCAAAGCACCACCCTCCTGGATTCCAACCCACCCTCCCCTCTCCGCTCCACCCTGGCACCATCTACACAGGGTTCCTTCACCCCGCCGCGCACAGCCCCCTCCACGCAAGCTGTGGGAGGCCCGCAGAGCGTGACCAAGGCCCCCTCCCACCCGGCGGGCACCCCAGCAGCAGCTGCGTGGTCACTCAGCAGTGTCGGGGAGGGGGCCGCCTCCCCCACCATCTCCACAGCAGCTCCCCAACGCGCCAGCGACCCACCCGGGGCTGCAGGCACAGCCAGGGCCCGGCACGGAGAACTCGCCGCCCGCCTGGTCCTGGACCCGAGTGTCTCAGCTGCCTCCGCCCCACCGGCCAGCAAACAACTGGGTCTCTCCCCTGCCTCCGGGGACCCACGGGGCGCACCCCAGCGCGCCTGGAGCACACAGGCCGCCCCGCAGGCTCCCCACCCAAGTCCTCCCGAGGGCGGAATCCCGATCTTGCTTTTGGATGATGACTCCGGCGAGGAGGAGGCGGGGAAGCGGGAGAAGGTGGGCGCGCCTCCCCAGGACGTCGCCTGTGACTACCACCCTTGTAAGCACCTCCAGACCCCGTGCGCGCAGCTGCAGAGGCGCTTGTGGTGCCGGTGCCCCGGCTTCAGCCAGGAAGACACCGTCCCTGACCCCCCCAGGCTGCAGGGCGTGTCGGAGACCACGGACACGTCCGCGCTCGTCCGCTGGTGCGCCCCCAACTCGGTGGTGCGCAGCTTCCAGATCCGCTACTCCCCGGAGGGCTGGCGGGGCAACCAGTCGGTGGTGGGGGACATCTACGCCACCGCCCGGCAGCACCCCCTCTACGGGCTGTCGCCGGGCACCACCTACCAGGTCTGCGTCCTGGCGGCCAACAGGGCGGGGCTGAGCC